GTTCCAATATCAACCTTAATTAACTGAAAACTGCATTCATCTTAACCAATCAGAACTGAGAAATGTTTTCATGTATATTATTACAACATTTAGAGTATATATACTTTTTTTCAAATTCTCATGATTGGCTTGAGATTTCATATGTATATATAGATACATGCATGCATATGTACACATATCACTGGTTTCTAGTTTGAGCAACGGAACAACATACTTTGGTACAAACCCCCATTCAGTAACAACGACAGCACCAATATCGGACACAGATTCCTTGCCCTAGTAGAAAGCAGTTCCTGCCCTAAACCCCGCCACAATCTCAGAAAAATCTTCTATCGAAACAGACAGTCAAGATCACGAACTGCACGAACACGAACGATCACGAACTGCACGATCACGAGCTGCACGAACAACACCAAGCAGATAATCGACAATCACAACAAACGCGTTTTAAATTCACCCAAACACATCGATGACACCGCAAAGGGGACCAATGCAAAAGACAACAAACCTCGCAGCTGCCGACGAAGAACACTTGCCCACTTAACGGAAACTGCCTCTAAATATCAGTAATCTACCAAGCCACCGTCACAAGTAAAGACAACAACGCTACTGAAACATTCATCGGACTCACAGAAAACGACTTGAAAACTAGATAAAGAAACCACACCGCATCATTCCGACGCATAAAACATAGAAACTCTACCGAAATCAGCAAATATATTTGGACTCTAAAAGAGAGCAACGTTGACCACTTTATTTTATGGCGCATCCTAAAAAGAAACTATTCATCATCTGCCGACCTGAATTATCATCACTCAATAAACGTAATGAATTTTTGTCCTTGTGCCGCTACAGAAAGAAAGTGTTACTGCGCAGTAACAGAATAATGTACTTAAATTTTTAAATTATACAAACGACGGTTACGGATATTCTTGTCAATAAATTCCCCTGATGAGTGAGCAATCAAAAAACAGGCTTGTAGGGATGAAAGCGTAGTCGTTGTATTCTTCTAACTCAGCATATATTGCACTCTACTTTTATGCATCGACTACTGTTATACGAAAAAATCGAAACGCAGACTTCCTGTATGTATATAAATATATATTTATTTAACAATTATTCCAGGAGCGCGCGTTGGATCTGAGATGATAGATAGCTACGCGCCTCGTTGGCTATAATCATCTCATATCTAACAAGCGCGAGTGGAATAATTGTTACATTAAAAACGCCCCCAAGATATTAGACAAATCTTGCCAAATCTTAAATTATTTAGCTCCCTTGTAATTTTAACCCGACGCGCACGCTTACCATATTTGTAGATTATGGTATATTATTAAAAACTAGATCATTGGATAATGCAACTCAAGACTTTTTATTGGCTTAGCCATTATGGTATATCAGCCAATATACCATAATCTACAAATATGGCAAGCGTACGTGTCAGCTTAAAATTAAAAGA